GGTGTGCCCCCGACCCTCTCGGTGTGCCCCCGACCCCCTCAATGTGCCCCCGACCCCCTCGGTGTGCCCCGACCCTCTCATTATCCGGATGGGGGAGGACATCATATCTCTGGGGATCTGGGTGAGGTCAGAGGTCATCCTACAGACCCCCCCATGTGACCAATCTCATCATCGCCCGCTCCTCCTCAGTCGATCTCCAATCAGATTGGACGGCAGTGTGTGGGGGTGTCGGATCGTCTTCTCACCGTCTGTTTTAACCCCCTAATGACCGGACAGCGGGACGCAGGGAGTCAGAATCCCGGGACGTTCATCGATCGGTGTATTGATCAGCATATTGATCAGTGTATTGATCGGTGTATTGATCAGCATATTGATCGGCGTATTGATCAGCATATTGATCGGCGTATTATTGATCAGCATATTGATCAGCATATTGATCGGCGTATTGATCAGCATATTGATCGGCGTATTGATCAGCATATTGATCGGCGTATTGATCAGCATATTGATCGGCGTATTGATCAGCATATTGATCGGCGTATTGATCAGCATATTGATCGGCGTATTGATCAGCATATTGATCGGTGTATTGATCAGTGTATTGATCAGCATATTGATCGGTGTGTGGATCGGCATATTGATCGGTGTATTGATCAGCATATTGATCGGTCTGAGCTCTCCATACATGACTATGCAGAGAGAAGCCCCCGACATGCAGCTAATACAGGGAACATTCCTGGTCATGTGATTGGGCGGAGCTAACAATGAGCAGCGGGGGAATCTCTGGGGGCCCCAGGAGGTCGGGGCCATTCATACATCGCTCACCTTGGAACATGTCCACCATCCTGAAGAAGGCCAGAGAGAAGGAGGATTTGCCGCTGCCGGTTCTCCCACAAATCCCGATCTGCAATGAGAACAATGGGGGTCTGGCAGAGAGTTTCCCAAATACTGAACAGAGCACCTGAGACTCTCCATCATGGCGCCTGCAGAGGAGGACCTGTCTACCCCTCAGACATGATGATGGAGACACAGTATGGCGCCACGTACAGGAGGACCCCGCCTCCCCCTCAGACATGGTGATGGAGACGCGGTATGGCGCCACGTACAGGAGGACCTGTCTACCCCTCAGACATGGTGATGGAGACGTGGTATGGTGCCACGTACAGGAGGACCTGTGTACCCCTCAGACATGGTGATGGAGACGTGGTATGGTGCCACGTACAGGAGGACCTGTGTACCCGACACGGTGATGAAGACGTGGTATGGTGCCACGTACAGGAAGACCTGTGTACCCCTCAGACATGGTGATGGAGACGCAGTATGGCGCCACGTACAGGAGGACCTGTGTACCCGACACGGTGATGGAGACGTGGTATGGTGCCACGTACAGGAGGACCTTTGTACCCCTCAGACATGGTGATGGAGACGCAGTATGGCGCCACATACAGGAGGACCTGTGTACCCGACACAGTGATGGAGACGTGGTATGGTGCCACGTACAGGAGGACCTGTGTACCCCTCAGACATGGTGATGGGAGACGCAGTGATGGAGACGCAGTATGGCGGCCACGTACAGGAGGACCTGTGTACCCGACACGGTGATGGAGACGTGGTATGGTGCCACGTACAGGAGGACCTTTGTACCCCTCAGACATGATGATGGAGACACAGTATGGCGCCACATAGGAGGGACCCGCCTCCCCCTCAGACATGGTGATGGAGACGTGGTATGGCGCCACGTACAGGAGGACCTTCCCCTCCCCCAGTCGCCCTCTCACCTTCTGTCCGGGTGTGATGTGGCGTTGACGTGTCGGAGGACGGGTTTTCAGCGAAGTGTCGTATCGAACGCTCAGGGTTCTGGATCTGGATCTCGCCGCTGTCCGGCCAGTTCTGTGGGATCTGGGAGGGGGCTGAACACACAAGACACGCTCATTAATTATCAATGAGGCGCGGAGGTCACCTGACCAATGACGGGGCGGCACACACTCACACAGGAGCCCCTTGTAATTCTCCGGCTCCGTCTTCAGAAGGCCGTTTATCCTCTTCACGGCTCCCAGCTGGGATCTCCATGTCGGACAGATTCCGCACCATCCAGTTCAGGTAGTTGGAGACCTGAGAGACACGGCGAGAATTTCACCAACCGCAACTCAACATCAGACTGTCTGTGCTGCGTCAAGGGGCCAATCAGAGTCCACCGTCATCACTCCAGTGTGGGGACGCACTGAACACGATTGGCTCGTAATAGGCACCACAGACAGTAATCTTTCAGCTGTCACAAGCTATACAACAATCCAGCTTTATACAGAGTTCCCCGCACACCAGCTGAAATCTGAAATCAGGCTTACAGTGGGGATGGCTGAGGAACAAATGGGGAGGTGGGTGTGGTCATCTCATTCATAGGCCTAATGACAGATAGGAGGCGGAGCAATGGGGGGGCAAAATGCAGATTCAGAAAAGTGTTGTCTGCTTTGGAGGATGGGGAATGGGGGGGGGGGGGGGAGGCAGGAGGATGGGGGAGGGGAATGGGGGGGGGGCAGGAGGATGGGGGGGGGAATGGGGGGGCAGGAGGATGGACAACACTTCATGGTAAAAGCTAAATGTCTGAATCTCATATCTGTCTCCTAAAGCCTGCAGGTTGGGGGTCAGTGTCTGGGGGGGGGGGGTCAGTCAATGATCCAGGGTTCAGTGTTCGGTAGTCTGGAGGGGGGAAATGTCTGGGGGGGTTACTTGTGATTTCATTTCTGGGGGTCAATGTCTGTGGTTTAGTTTCAGGGTGGTCAATGTCTGGGGGGGGTCAGGATCCGGGGGTCAGTGTCCAGGAGTAGGTGTCTGGAGAGCAAGCATCTATAGGTCCAAGGAGGGAGCAAGTCCCCCCCCAGAAGCACCATGAAAAGGCCATGCTGAATCTATACAGAATGTAGGTGACAGGAAAGTGCCGGAGTTGTCGGGTGTGACTCGCAGTTCGGAGTTTTCTGGATGATGACATGGGGGGTCACTGCTCTGTGCTGGGTGACGGTGGGAGGTCCCCGTGTGACAACACCAGGAATCCTATTCACCATCAAGGCGTAGGATGAGTCCTCAGACTTTCCGACCAATCCCGTGGCGAGGTTGTTCTGCAGCCGATAGGTGATGGAGGCAAACAGCCGCTACCAGGACAAACACAGGCTCCGATAATTATTCCTGTATGAGGACAGAAAATATTTACTTCATTCATGGAGACTTGATATGAGAGGACAGAGAGGGGCATAGGACAGTTTCCTCTGGGATGTCCATTTGTATGACCGCCCCTGAAGAACCTCCACTGGGATGTCCATGTGTATGACCGCCCCTGAGGAACCGCCACTGGGATGGTCCATTTGTATGACCGCAGCCTGAGGAACCTCCACTGGGATGTCCATTGTATGACCGCCCCATGAGGAACCTCCACTGGGATGTCCATTGTATGACCGCCCCCTGAGGAACCTCCACTGAGATGTCCATTGTATGAGCCGCCCCCTGAGGAACCTCCCACTGAGATGTCCATTGTATGACCGCCCCCTGAGGAACCTCCACTGGGATGTCCATTGTATGACCGCCCCTGAGGAACCTCCACTGAGTGTCCATTGTATGACCGCCCCCTGAGGAACCTCCACTGGGTATGTCCATTGTATGGACCGCCCCTGAGGAACCTCCACTGAGATGTCCATTGTATGACCGCCCCACTGAGGAACTCCACTGGGATGTTCATTGTATGACCGCCCCTGAGGAACCTCCACTGGGATGTCCATTGTGACAAGAGTGACTTTGGGTGGGGGCCCATGGAGCACAGCCCCCTTTGGAGAGGTGGGGAGACCCCTGTCTCAGCTCCCCATATCCCTCATATGTGTAAGTCCCCCTGTAACGGAACCGGACCCCGACCACACTTGGGTATATTCCGTGATACCGCAGCTTCCCTGTCTGAACACCATCCACAGACCACACCCTTGAAGTCCCTCAGGAAATAGACAGCACCCGGCTCTTCTTAAAACAGGAAGTCAACTCTTTATTATAACACAAAACACAGGATATATACAGGGGGCGGGGACACACAACCAGGAACAGGAAATACATCATCAGCCCGCCCCATCCACACCAAGACACAGAACAATGGGATGAAGCACATGGCATGGGCGTGGCCAGCTGAATGCAGACGTGACACCTCTCCTATGTGGGTCGGACGGTCCGTGGTGAGCGGTGTCAGTGATTGCATACCTATGTCTGTGATGTTGGTGTCGGTTTAGACTCCTTGTTTGTAAGTGTGTTACCTTATTAAATTGTGTTTGGTTACCCATCGCTCCCATGTGGCCGAGAAACAAAGGAACACGCACTATACACAACACTGGGACATTCACACCCTGTACCCCTTAACAGGCACAGGGTCACTTAAACATAATGGGGGGAACATGAGCTGACACAGAGGTCCCCCCACCCCCAAAAGGGGGGGGTTGTGGATTGTTTGGTGTCATGTGGTTGCATCCCATTGTTCTATTGTGTGTCTGGCTTGGGAGCAAACTATTATGGGATGTATGTGTTTATGTGTATTGGCTTGGTGGGGGGGGGGGGGTGTCTCCAGCAGCCCTTCCCCCTGATGGGACTGTCTGCTGGTGTGTCTCTTGTTACTAAATGTAGATTGCCCCGCCCTGTGTCATTATGCAGGGAGGGGGGATTGTCCCGCCCTGTGTCATTATGCAGGGAGGGGGGATTGCCCCCTGAGTGTATATATATCTTGTATCTGTATTTACATAAACTAGTCTACTTCCTGGATTACTGCAAGTCTGGTGTCGCCTGGTCATGTATGGTCATGTATGGTCATGTATGGTCAGCGGTGGTGTCTGTGGTCGGTGTTCGGGACGGAAAGCAGTATTCTAACGGAAGTACTCAAGCAGAGTCGGGGTTCGTTCCATTACATCCATTGTGTCACCATTCCCCTGAGTAATGTCCGGTGGGATGCCCATTGTGTGTCACCATCCCCCAAGGAACATCAGGTGGAATCTGTCTTGTGGGGAATGTCCACTGGGAGTAACATCCATTGGGATGTCCATTGTGTGACTGGACCGTGGCATATCCACCAGATGTCTGTGTTTGACCCACCCTGAGGAACATCTACTGGGTTTACTACTGTGTGATTGGACCTGAAGTACAACTGCTGGGAAGTCCATTATGTGACCACCCCTGAGGAGACTCAGCTGGGATGTCTTGTGTCCGGCCCATGGAGGAATATGTGAAGAAAGGGAAGATGTGATTGGACACAGATACTCCTCCCCCCTCCCATCTGCGTACAGTAAGTGCCCAGCCGCACTCACCATGCGCACTTCTAGCCAGCGATTGGCTGCGGTCAGGAAAAGGGACGCAATGTTGTTGGAGTCGGTGAGTTCTAGAAGTTTCTGCTGGAACCTGGCCTCGTATCTGGAGGAAAGAAACAAGATGGACATCAGGCCACTGAGAGATGGACAGCGACAGGCCATGAAATACAAGGGGAGGGACAAAGTGGCGAGGGCAAAACCCACAGCAACCAATCAGCACTCAGCTTTCATAGCTGTGGGGGGGAGGGGGTTGCTATAGGTTTACAGTAGCTCAATGTACAGACATTACCTGAACGCCCGTATGGTGGTCAACCCCTCCACCGTCTCCGAGAAGTGCGCCAGTAGGGGGAGCTGCGTGCTGTCCTCCAGCTGCTGAAGGTCCCTGAAATGAGATGATATATATGGGGAACGGGTGAAGATACACCGTGAGATCTACAGGACCACGTCCTACAATGTGCCACCCTCCCCATCATACGTCCCTACAATGTGCCACCGTATACTCCACCCTCCCATCATTACGTCCCTACAATGTGCCACCGATACTCCACCCTCCCATCATACGTCCCTACAATGTGCCACCAATACTCCACCCTCCCCATCATACGTCCTTACAATGTGCCACCGATACTCCACCCTCCCCATCATACGTCCCTACAATGTGCCACCGATACTCCACCCTCCCCATCATACGTCCCTACAATGTGCCACGATACTCCACCCTCCCCATCATACGTCCCTACAATGTGCCACCGATACTCCACCCTCCCATCATACGTCCCTACAATGTGCCACCGATACTCCACCCTCTATACCCCCATCACACGTCCCTACAATGTGCCACCGATACTCCACCCTCCCTTGATCATACGTCCGTACAATGTGCCACCGATACTCCACCCTCCCCAATCATACGTCCCTACAATGTGCCACCGATACTCCACCCTCCCCATCATACGTCCCTACAATGTGCCACCGATACTCCACCCTCCCCATCATACGTCCCTACAATGTGCCACCGATACTCCACCCTCCCCCATCGTACATCCGTACAATGTGCCACTGATACTCCACCCTCCCCATCATACGTCCCTACAATGTGCCACGTTATACTCCCCTCCACCCTCCCCATTCATACGTCCCTACAATGTGCCACGATACTCCACCCCCCATCATACGTCCCTACAATGTGCCACCGATACTCCCCCTTCCCATCACACGTCCCTACAATGTGCCACCGATACTCCACCCTCCCCATCATACGTCCCTACAATGTGCCACCGATACTCCACCCTCCCCATCATCGTCCCTAACAATGTGCCAACGATACTCCCCCCTCCCCATCACAACATGTCCCCTACAATGTGCCACCGATACTCCACACTCCTCCCATCATACGTCCCTACAATGTGCCAACCGATACTCACCCCATCCCCCGTACCTCATCGTACATCCGTACAATGTGCCACTGATACTCCACCTCTCCCCATCATACGTCAATAAAATGTGCCACGATACTCCCCCTCACCACCCTCACCCCATCATACGTCCCTACAATGTGCACCAATACTCCACCCTCCCCATCATAATCGTCCCTATAATGTGCCACCGATACTCCACCCTCCCCATCATACGTCCCTACAATGTGCCACCGATACTCCCCCTCCCCATCAGACGTCCCTACAATGTGCCACCGATACTCCACCCTCCCCATCATACGTCCCTACAATGTGCCACGGATACTCCACCCTCCCCATCATACGTCCCTACAATGTGCCACCGACACTCCCCCTCCCCATCATACGTCCCTACAATGTGCCACGATACATCCACCCTCCCCATCATACGTCCCTACAATGTGCCACCGACACCCTCCCATCTTACGTCCCCCCACTCCCCATCATACTCCATACAATGTGCCACCGATACTCCCCCCTCCCCATCATACGTCCCTACAATGTGCCACCGATACTCCTCCCTCCATCATAGGTCCCTACAATGTTGCCACCGATACTCCACCTCCCATCATACGTCCTACAATGTGCCACCGATACTCCCACCCTCCCCATCATAGTGTGCCACGTCCCCTTACAATGTGCCACCGGTGCCATACTCCACCTCCCCATCATACGTCCCTACAATGTGCCCGATACTCACCGATACACTCCACCCCCCCATCATACGTCCGTACAAGTGTGCCACCGATACTCCACCCTCCCCATCATACGTCCGTACAATGTGCACCGATACTCCACCCTCCCCATCATACGTCCCGTACAATGTGCCACCGATACTCCACCCTCCCCATCATACGTCCGTACAATGTGCCACGATACTCTACCCTCCCCATCATACGTCCCTACAATGTGCCACCGATACTCCACCCCCTCCCCATCATACGTCCGTACAATGTGCCACCGATACTCCACCCTCCCCATCATACGTCCCTACAATGTGCCACCGATACTCCACCCTCCCCATCATACGTCCCTACAATGTGCCACCGATACTCCACCCTCCCCATCATACGTCCGTACAATGTGCCACCGATACTCCACCCTCCCCATCATACGTCCGTACAATGTGCCACCGATACTCCACCCTCCCCATCATACGTCCGTACAAATGTGCCACCGATACTCCACCCTCCACATCATACGTCCCTACAATGTGCCACCGATACTCCACCCTCCCCATCATACGTCCCTACAATGTGCCACCGATACTCCACCCTCCCCCTCCCCCCTCATACGTCCCTACAATGTGCCACCGATACTCCCCCCTGCACCCTCCCTATCATACATCCGTACAATGTGCCACCGATACTCCACCCTCCCCATCATACATCCGTACAATGTGCCACCGATACTCCACCCTCCCCATCATACATCCCTACAATGTGCCACCGATACTCCACCCTCCCCATCATACGTCCCTACAATGTGCCACCGATACTCCACCCTCCCCATCATACGTCCCTACAATGTGCCACCGATACTCCCCCTTGCACCCTCCCTATCATACGTCCCTACAATGTGCCACCGATACTCCACCCTCCCCATCATACGTCCGTACAATGTGCCACCGATACTCCACCCTCCCCATCATACGTCCCTACAAATGTGCCACCGATACTCCACCCTCCCCATCATACGTCCCTACAATGTTGCCACCGATACTCCACCCTCCCCATCATACGTCCCTACAATGTGCCACCGATACTCCCCCTCCCCATCATACACCGTCGTACAATGTGCCACCGATAATCTCCACCCTCCCCATCATACGTCCGTACAATGTGCCACCGATTACTCCACCCTCCCCATCATACGTCCGTACAATGTGCCACCGATACTCCACCCTCCCCATCATACGTCCGTACATGTGCCACCGATACTCCACCTCTCCATCATACGTCCCTACAATGTGCCACCGTTACTCCACCCTCCCCATCCATACGTCCCTACAATGTGCCACCGATACTCCACCCTCCCCATCATACGTCCCTACAATGTGCTCCACCGATACTCCCCCTGCACCCTCCCTATCATACATCCGTACAATGTGCCACCGATTGTCTCCACCCTCCCCATCGTACATCCATACAATGTGCCACCGATACTCCACCCTCCCCATCATACATCCCTTACAATGTGCCACCGATACTCCACCCTCCCCATCTACGTCCCTACAATGTGCCACCGATACTCTCCCCCCTCCCATTCATATATATATCTCGGCATGGACCGGCCATCTGGCAACTCTGGCAGGGGGGAAGGACAGCGCACCACACCATGATAAACCGGCACAACGCGGAAAGTCGCTCCCGCCACAGACACGGGGGAACATCCGCCCTGGCACCGCCTGTCTATGGTCAGGATATATATAGCTCCTCCTCCATCTGATATATGACCCACCCCTTATTATCCTCCACTCTTCCTACCACCCCATCAACCACAGCTATCTCCTCCTGCGTATACCACTACCCCCTCCCGGATTGTAAGCTCCAAGGATCAGGGCCCTCGCACCCCTCGTGTATCACATTGATACTGTCTCATGTATTGTCTCCCATTGTAATGTACAGCGCTGAGCAAACTGGGCTGGCGCTCTATAAATTATCATCAATCATACCGGATTTCTATGGCGCCAACAGTGTCTGCGGCACATTACAATACAGGCGGGGGGCGGTACAATGACGGAATGCCGTCTATATCCCAGCACAGGCTGTATATACCTCCCGCTGTATCTGTATACTGTGCCGTCCGGGGGTATGATACACAGTATATATATATATGTCGCCGTGTGACACGCTGGGATGGGCTCGGCGGGATGGGCTCGGCGTGATGGGCTCGGCGGTAGAGGCGCTCGGCGGGATGGGCTCGGCGGGATGGGCTCGGCGGGATGCGCTCGGCGGGGTGGGGCTCGGGCAGGGTGGGCTCGGCGGGAATGGGCTCGGCGGGATGGGCTCGGCGGGATGCGCTCGGCGGGGTGGGCTCGGCAGGGTGGGCTCGGCGGGATGGGCTCGGCGGGATGGGCTCGGCGGTAGATGCGCTCGGCGGGATGCGCTCGGCGGGATGGGCTCGGCGGGGTGGGCTCGGCGGGATGTGCTCGGCGGGGTGGGCTCGGCGGGATGTGCTCGGCGGGGTGGGCTCGGCAGGGTGGGGACTCGGCGGGATGCGCTCCTTGGGATGGGCTCGACGGGATGCGCTCGGCGGGGGGGCTCGGCGGGATGGGCGCTCGCGGGATGGGCTCGGCGGGGGGTATGCGGCTCGGCGGGATGCGCTCCGCGGGATGGGCTCGGCGGGATGCGCTCGGCGGGTGGGCTCAGCGGGATGCGCTCGCGGGATGGGCTCGGCGGGATGCGCTCGGCGGGGTGGGCTCGGCGGGATGGGCTCGCCGGGATGCGCTCGGCGGGATGGGCTCGGCGGCGGGATGTGCTCGGCGGGGTGTGGGCTCGGCGGGATGCGCTCCTTGGGATGGGCTCGACGGGATGCGCTCGGCGGGGTGGGCTCGGCGGGATGGGCTCGGCGGGATGCGCTCTCCTTGGGATGGCTCGACGGGATGCGCTCGGCGGGGTGGGGGCGGGATGGGATCGGCGGGATGGGATCGGCGGGGTGAGGCTCGGCGGGATGCGCTCGGCGGGGGAGGCTCGGCGGGATGCGCTCCGCGGGATGGGCTCGGCGGGATGCGCTCGGCGGGATGCGTTCGGGGATGGGTTCGGCGGGATGGGCTCGGCGGGAGTAGAGCGCTCGGCGGGATGGGATTGGCGGTAGAGCGCTCGGCGGGATGGGATCGGCGGTAGAGCGCTCGGCGGGATGGGATCGGCGGGATAGAGCGCTCGGCGGGATGGGATCGGCGGTAGGGTGCTCGGCGGGAGCGCTCGGCGG